CAAGATCTTTATTAATTGGTCTGTGTCAACATCTTTATTCGATGTGGGATTATATCCCTTAACATTTCTTTCCAGTGTTTTAATACCCAGAAGACTGGTTTGTCAAATATGTATAACTTTTTGTCTAAGATTTATTAATATATTTAATTAATGTTATTGCAATCAGTGGGAAATGGCCGTGATTATTTTTACTTGTTAAAGAGACTGCATGTCACCATCTAGGATTACATCTAGTATTATTGTTTTCATGAATGCATATAGCATTGTAATTTGTTCGAATTATAACAACGTAGATAAAGATGTCTTGAATACTTTCTAAAGTGAGAAAGTAACGTTAGCGTGGATAGAAAAAAAGTGGAGAAAAAAACCGGAGTAGGAAATAAGCGAGAGGTAGTTTTCTTGACTACTTTCTAAAGTGAGAAATTAGCTAATGACTTGACCACGAGTAATTAGCTAATAAGAATAATGCAAATGGGCTTGACCTCATCGAGTATACATTTATCGTGTCAAGTCTATCGTACCAAACAAGATGTGAGTGGTCAAGATTAAAAGTAAATAGCAAGCATGAAAGTTCCACTATAAAGAAAAGTAGATTGCAAGGTGGAAAAGAATGTTGAGTAGTAGACTATCCAACAATCATAAGAATAATAAAGATGCTTTTTGTTCACTGGGAGGATCTATACAGCTGTGCAAGGAATGACTCATGTGACAAATATAAAACTACTTTTCATTTTATCTTATGCCTTTATTCTTTCGTATAAGTCTAGAATTTCAAGAACCGGACTAGGATTATGGCATCAAACCGTATTTGTTATGGAATAAGAATTAGAACACAATTCCCTGTAATATTCCACTTCTCCTAATTATCCAGAAAATGAAATCCTCTGGAATTTCTTCCTGCAGAGCTCCATTCATGAATGAGCATCATCTAAATCTTTTACCATTTTATGGCAAATCATAGCGGGTCCCAAACCCGGGTAAAGGGAAGAAGGTTGCGGTAGATTTAACAACCAGTATGAAACTTTGGCAAATCGTAATTAAGGATTGTACATATGAGAAAAATACAAAGGAGTTTACACCTATATGGACTGTACTGGATGCAACTAAGGAAGAAAAAAAAAGTTAAAAATATAGCACACTGTACTATATTGTCTAATACTGTTTATCAAACATGCATACGAGAGCTTACGTTTCATAGGAAACAACAGCTGAAATTTCTTATCCTTCCCTTAGAGACCTCTGTTGCCGAGCGATGAAGTCCTCAACAGTGCGCCGAAACTCTTCACTACTCATTTTATCCTTGGCACATGAAGAACCCCCCGGTTTCTTAACGCAATTTACACTTTTCTGGCACCTTTCTGTCATCGACCGCCTTAATTCCCAGTGAGGATCCTCGCAGTGCATCCTTTCCATTTTCTCTGATTGACTCCTGTGTATCTTCCTCTTCTTGTGATCACAACAAGTGATGTTGTTTGTCGGTTTTTGGTTCTCAATGTTTTTCTTTCGACAGTTCTCCATGTACTCATCATATACACCAATCTTGCTGTGTTTTTCACCATCTTTGGTTGATAACTGTCCCGATTTCATGAACAGAATGACGATTATCGCGTTTCCAATTACAAACACGAACCGGGGACTAATTAAGGTGATAAATAGTCCCCTGAAGTATTCATCAGACAGTTTGAAAGCAAAAGGCAGTTGAATGGAACTTCTGGAGAGAAGGATCAAGATAACACACAGCTCCATGAATCTAAGCAGGATGGTGATCATTTGACGCTTGTCGTACCTAAAGATCGTGTTAACCTTCTCGACTTTAATGCCATGAATGTTAAATGAATCCATTTCTAGAACAGGATCCTTTATCTCAAGATATCGAAAAAATTTCGACTTTTTTTCTTCGGGTTTTTTACTCGAAAGAGAAGTGATTCAAGGCTATAAGATTTGCTTCAGTCCTCAATTTGAACTGAGAGCAGAAGTGAATTATAGTGATCATAGTGTAAAAAGTAAAGAAACTTAGATCAATGACAACATTTTGGAGCACTACTGCTATTTATAGGCTTGGAAAAACTTACAGAATCTTTTCCTTTATCGAACTTTGTAAGCAGTTGTGTTTTGGAGAAGCTTGAAGCACAATGGCCTGCCACTTCATTAAGGGAAAAAAGGTATTTACTATTAAAAATTCGACTCTTTAGGGTATATATTTTCGATGATTAAGTCGAACTCCAGCTCGAGAAAATTTTTACTTGTATGATCGCTTGTCAGTTGTCACCGAGAATTTTTAGTGCTAGAAGGAGAGCTTCTCACTTTAATCAAACGAGTACATCTGGTCTACTTAGTGGTGGCAATGGGCCGGGCCGTGCCGAGCCGGCTTGGCCATTCTACCCTCGAGTTCGGCTCGTCAAAGTGACGAGCCGAGCTCAAGCTCGTTCGAGCATGAGCTCGTGAGCTCACAAGCCTAGCCGCTCGTCAAATTTTTAAAAATTTTTTTTTTAGTTTTTTTCTCACATTTTTTACGAGCCCACGAGCCTGGCCCGTGGCTCACCCACGAGTCGCTCGTCAAAACGAGGGCCTACTCGGCTCGGGCTCAGGCTCGTCTTTTTTACAAGCCCGAGCGGCTCGTGGCTCGTTTTTGACGATAGCCGCTCGGCTCGGTTGCCACCCCTAGGTCTACTATGTCTTCTAATTCGTTAATTTTTAAAACAACGAATAACGAAGTGATTATTTAGGGCAATTCGAATAAACTTTCAAAGTTAGTGATAATTAAAATATTTAACCATTCGTTTTAAAGAGAATTACAAATTTATCGATTTAATTATGTCAATAAACTATTAACACTTGAACTATTAAAATTAAGGTGTCTAGTTATCTACTACTCTTCCTTCTGAAGAAATTTTGTGTGTAAATTATTAAAGGTGTTTGTTCACTTTATGAGGCAAATTAAACGAATAATTGGGCTTTAATTGGGCTACTTTAACTACCCATGAGTCTGATCCCTGGGCTCCACGCCCACTGTTTAGTCTTTAGTGGGAAACATGCCTTTCTATAGCATTTTAACACGAATTACTGGTTTGGAAAAGTTCTTAAAAAGTTGAGATCGGACATAATAATTAATTTTAATTTATATTCTTAGAATTTACAATTTTTATTAAATTTTTAATAATGCATTTCATCTCTTTTTTTTTAAATAAAATATGCTAAAATTTCTATCAAAATCTCATTCATATCTTAAGAAGTGCGTGATAAAATTTAACAATTCGTTGATTAATTTTTCTCATAATAATCAGCCGAATGTTTCAAATTTGTAATAACGACAAAATTTGTATAATACATTTTCTAGTATGTCTTCGTCGTGTTTTTCGTCAGGTAAGATTCATATATATCTTTAATTCGTATTTAGAATTTAATTTCCATGAGAAAGGAATTCTCAACCCCCCGCCCCTTCGATCAAGCGAGGACGTCGAAGAACTCAATAGCTCATCTCGTGATATCATATACTTAATACAAAATGATTAAGCAAAGCAAAGTAATTCTTTCTGGAACTTAAAAGCAACTTTTGTGCGTCTAAAAAAAGACTGAACAATGGGATAAGGATACTAACATGAAAGTGAAACATAGTTGGTTTAATCTAATTAATTGACTTTTTGCACTAATCTAATTATAAACAGGCACAAAAGATATGTTCTTTTCAATTGATTCGTTATGTTTTTCGAATAATTCAATATACTTATCCGACACGAGGACACGTACTTCCTTTTTTTTTTCCTGTAAATAGATGCACACGGCAAAACACGGTGGATTGAGAGTATTTTGAGTCGGCTTAGCTTTTTGTTGTATTGTCTTTTAATTTAATTTTTTTAAGGACAATTAAATAATTATATAAAAACTTTTTATAACCAGATAATAATTAATTATAGACAATAGAAAATCAGGGTTTCTACCTATATGCAATTAAGAAAATGAAATATACTTTTTTTTTTTTCGTATTTTGAAAATACCTGAAAATCTAAAAAACATAAATAAATTGAAAGTCGAAAAAGTGAGCTCGTGGGCTCATAATTCATAACTCACTTACAGATCAAACCTCATGGGTTAATTTGGCAAAACTATACCCGAAATACAAATCATTTTCAAATGAATAATGCTATTTATAGTGAAGATGATAGTCGTCATACGTGACATATACATGACAATTTATTATTTGATGCATGGTGTGATATAAAACTACTACATTAAACGGCATGAATTCGTGCATCATGGCTCAATTCCAATTAGTCAGACCTTGAAAACATTAGCTTAGTTATATGTAATGAGCTTTACATATATAGACAAGATATATAATCTCGAAGAAAAAAAATGTTAAAGAAGATCCAGCAACCATCAAATAACTCAAATTCTTGCAACATTGCTCGATCTCGACTGGTTGAACTTTTACACATTAGCTTAATGATTATGTAATGAGCAATGTTCTTAATATGTTCAATCTGAACTTTAAAAAAAAATAAAATTATTTTAACAATTAATTATGAAAAGTGGTAAAACTTATCAAATATATTTATGTATTATACATTCTTTTTAATTATTTATTCTCGATGTTTGTTTTATTGGGCTGGGCTGAGGTAGACACAGCGAAAACCTTTTTTTCTTCGGCAAGTCAGCCCAAACCCACCATGGGCCGACGTCGTTTAAAGACGAATAATAGTCTTCGCTTTTCTAAATTCCCCAACTTCTCAACAACCCTAATCTTAGTCCCCGCCGCGTTATCATCTCCTCTATCAATGGTGAGCAATAACATCTTTTCTTCTTGATTAAACGAATCACTTGGTGACATATACGTACTCTATGTATAATTTGTTGTTAATTTGTAATTTTCGAATTTATAATTGCAGGCACCGAAGAAGGACAAGGCACCACCTCCGTCATCCAAGCCGGCAAAATCCGGTGGCGGAAAGCAGAAGAAGAAGGTCATCCACCAGTGGCTTCTCCTTTTTCTTTATACGTCGATAAATACAGATACTTGTATGCATACTGGTATGACATAGAAAACTAAATCTTATATTAATAATGTGCTGGAAAAATGTGCAGAAGTGGAGCAAGGGAAAGCAAAAGGAGAAGGTGAACAACATGGTATTGTTTGACAAGGCTACCTATGACAAATTGCTGTCTGAGGCCCCAAAATACAAGCTAATCACTCCTTCAATCCTTTCGGATCGTCTCAGGGTATTGCTTCCTGTTACTTGACTTAAATTGGGTATAGCAATGGTTTTGTTTGACAATATTATTGAACCTCCTTTGGCACCCTGTTGCTTATTTGAATTTCTGTTTCGGCAATGGCTATGCGTTTAGATTTACCGGAGTATGCATAGTGACTGTATTCATGATTCTGTTTTGTGTGATGTTTTGTTTTGTCCTTTCACTCTGCAATGACAAATACTGAAAATTCAGAATTATACTGTTTTTTCAAGTTATAGTTTTTTTACCTAATGGCTAGAACAATTGATGCTATCGTCTGACTAAAATAGCAATATGTTGGCCATTATGTTTCAATCCTACAATCAGACTATGGATTGCTGAATTGTTGGTGGATATAGTTCTTGTTATTGAGAACAAAGTTAATGGTTGTGTTTTTGAAAAAAGAAACTTGTCGTCTGTATGTTATATTTCTATAATGTTAACCGAAAATAGTCCCTTGCTGCAATGTTCTAAGAGTTGTTGGGCTATCTTAACTCTATGACCATCACCATTAGATGATTGCAACGTTATCTTCGTTTGCCATACTTGATTATCTCTTTTTATTTTATAGGATGCTGGTATAATAATGTTTGGCTTAGCATCGATACTGAATTTGATTATGTATTTATTTACAGATCAATGGATCACTTGCGAGGAAGGCCATTAGAGAATTGATGGCTAAAGGTTTGATCAGAATGGTGTCATCTCATTCTAGCCAGCAGATATACACTAGGGCCACTAACACCTAGGTGCATCTTTTGCATCATCTAAGAGCTGGAAATGAATGATTTTAGGCCTCTGAACTTTTGTTAGTTTTGATAGTTCATGCAACTATCTTCTGTGAGCAGATTTTTTAATTTAATTTTGTTTTCAATATTGGCATCTTGCGCCTGGTGATGATATAATGAGTTCCAGTAAGCTGCTGGTTATTTTTACATGTGTTGCACTACACCGAAATTTGGTTTTGCAAGTTTGTCATGGAGTTTGAGATTGAAGTGGTTGCATCTGAATCATCTTGCAAACCAATCTTCTTAATAAATTGTTCAAAATATTATAAGTGGGGACAAGACTACCTGTATGTTTCCTCATATTAGAAACGGCCTAGCTGCTGAAGTTTTCTATTAGAGTGCTAAGACCATTGACCTGGTCTGGCACCGTGGTGGGCTAAGAACTTTTTGGCAAGGTTGGCCAAGCTCGATATAACATTTCTTTCATATCTAAATAATACCCTCATACCATCCTTGTTTGAAAATTTTGAAGACCTTTTAGACCTCGGATGAACATATTTCACTTGGTGGCTACCCCTAGATCCATGGAAACTATCTTGACATCGGGAACCCCACTTGAGAGTCCCTCATCAATGAAGATACCTTGAGGTATGACCTCGAGGTCGAAGTATAACTTCAAACTCTAGACAGGCTCCCTGAAAAATATAGAGGGGATTTGGTGGGGATTAAAATTAGATTTTTAGTGGATTGTGACAGAAGTTTTTGAAATGTGTGGTTGAAAAGATATGGGATCCATGAAAGATGTGGTTAATATTGATTATATTAAAATCAGATTTTAACATGACCTAAGTCCATTATTTACATTGTCAGTTTATAGTCTCACACTTTATTATTTTTGCATCCACAAAGCATTGAAGAGAGATGAGGTCTTGCTCCTCCTCTCCTTTACTGTTAGAATTTTTTTTTTCCTAGCAAGGAAGAAAAATAAAAATATTAAAAATTTTTTTTTGAATAAATCTGGGTGATGTGATCGTGTGGACGAATTTGGTCAAGTGCCAACAATTCACGTGAAGATTCACATGCTGGTTACCTAAAATAGCAGCCAAGTTTCTTGTATTAGTTAATTATTTTGTCAATTAGTGTTCGTTTGGCCAATCTTAACATCTCCAAGGAAATTTGCTGTTTGCCTGTCTCCCTTCTCCATCCTTGACGATGGGAATGATTCACTCGTGGTCTGCTCTATTGCATCTTGATACTATTTTAAATGATTCTTTCATCATTGACTGATGGAAAATTTACTATGCACATTTTTTATGTACAAGTAGCAAAATCCTTTAAATATAGCACTTCATTTTAAAAAAAAAAAAAAATTCCCGTGGAAGACGAAGATAGACTCGAGGGTGACTATCAATTATTGAGGGTGTTCATACATCTTAATATCTTAACTTAATATTTTATCATTGGACAATTTAAAATACAGTCAACTTTTTAATTCAATCATTTACTGTCACATATAATTATGTTGATCATTCTGACAAATTCTTTTGTCAAGGTAACTTTATTCATGACCCGCTATTGCGTCTCTTTTGTAGGAAAATATTGATCTCTCACTTGAAGGGCTTGTCGAAGAAATCAGAAACAAATAATCAAGATCATCAAAGAAAAATCAAAAGGCCTAAACACGATAATTATATCGTTGTCCTCAAACGATATTTTTCCTCTCTAGGATTGAAATTTGGTGCTTAAAGGATTTTTTAGCAAATGGTTTATAGGATTTATTAAACTTTGTAATAGAAAAACACTTAGTGTTTTATGTCAAAACATCAAGAACACGAGGAATTTGAAAACGAATGAAAAGAATTTTATCTTTTCTATTTTGGAATGGAATGTAATTTCAAATGATTTCAATAATGATTTTTATTTTTAATGTAATTTGTATTGATCATGAGACATATAGTTCTCAATCAACACCCACGAAATGATGTCAAATATTCGTGAAAAGTTCGTTCCACCAAAAATCCAAATAAGAAAGTCAGCCCAACGACTATTTTTTAAACATATGCGACTGCATAGATCCATTATATGCAGTCGCATAGAAGACTCAATTGTAGGGCCTGAAAACCCTGCATGTATACATGCAATCGCATTCCTCTTGGACTATGTGGTCGCATAATGCAAACTCTTGGCTTCCAAATCCACATTTCATTTCAAATCATTTTCTATTGATTTTGAACAATAATTTCAACAATTCTCATTTGTTCAAAATTCAATAAAATCACATATTCAAAATGTACAATACTTATGCATAAGGATTAGGTATCTTTCGATTTGAATCTAACAATGTTGTAATTCAAACAAAGTAAAGTCGAAATTAAAGGTAGCACGAAAGCTTTGAACCAATTATTCCATCGACAAAACACACACACAAGTATTCACGTTTTCAAGTTCCTCAACTAGCTTAGCGCTAATATGGTCTTGCGCTCATCTTTTTCAACAAATTTTTAAGAGAGTAACTCTAACTTTCTATCGAGGCGGTACTACCTCGAAGTTCATCTAGGTGAAGTTCTTCCAGTGTCTTTGTTACTTTTTAGAAATACTTATACCTCATATTAAAATTCATTAAGAGGTTAAAGCTCAACTCTCACTTCAATAATAAACAGCATTATATAATTAGGATAGGGTTATTGCGAATTTTATAATGCTGAAACTATCCACACATCAAAAGACTTGTTGTAACCCTTTGAATTTGTGAATTACTTTGTTAAGTAATAACATGTAGGATTGCTATCATTGGTGGATCTTTGGTTTAAGTAATTCCCCACCCCATCCCCGCCTCCTAACCCGTTTTAGGCGAGGCGGGGCAGGGCGGGGCTCTTGCCCTGTTTAAAATCTCGTTTAATTTTTTTTTTTTTTTTAAGTTTTTGATAATTTATTTTTATTGCCTACATTTATTAGATTTAGACAAATAATTTTAGTTGTAATTTTCTATTAGAACTAAAGAAATTGCATGAAATTTTCCATTTAAAGTACTGAATTCTAAAAAAAAAAAAAATTAAACGGGGCAGGGTGGGGTGGGGTGCCAGTTACCCGTCCCTGTCTCGAATACCCGATTAAGAGGGTTATCCCGCTCTGTTCGAGGCGGGGCCCCCGGGAATCGGGTTTGTCAAGTTTTTCTGCCATTCCTAAATTTTCTTATGCAGCCATGTCTTAGACTCGTATGTCTAAACTTTTAATTACAGATGGCTTAGTATCTCATCAAATATAGCCAAAAAACGATCGATTTATTTAATATATACAAATTTTCATCCACTAAGAAATTCTCTTACGAAACTACATGCTTCTCACTATCTTTATTTAAAGCTTTATCTTTGGAGGATTTCTATCAAACACTACACTAGTCAATCATATTTTTCAGAATTATGGGTATTTAACATTATAATGCATTTTAACTTTTTGAATATTTTTCAAATATTTCAATTATTCTTGCATATCCAAACAAAAGCCATAATTGGTTTTCAATCCATTTTAGACTTAATGCATATTATCTTTATATTTATATAAGGATTTTTTTACATTTTCACTTCATAGACATTTTTCTATGACTATAAGGCAGGCCTGGTTTTGGCTCAAGGCCATTGATACAATGGCCTTGGGCCTCAACGTATAAGGGGGCCTCAATTTTTTTTTTTAAAGCCCAAAACAATTATCCCTTATGAAATGTACAAATTACACATGGTACTAATATAAATTTTACTATCCATCTTGTTTTATTCTGAAAGTACATTTAGTTTTTAAAGGAAGATAAATAATTTTTAATAAAGGAAAATAACATAAATTAGCTTGATTATTGGAACATTTCAAAACTAATTAACGGGCTATTTAAAGAATTAAGAAATGTAGGAATTTCAAGAAGACTAATTAGTTACATTAAGATATTTTGTGTTATTTATATAATACGTATTATATATGACATATAAATTTTTTTTAGTATATCATAAAATATTTTAATTTAATAGGTAGATATGATTTATTTTCTTCTTGAACATGAAAATTGATTGTCGAACGAATCAAATGGTGAGCGAGTACCATAGGTCTAATGTTTCCCATCATGAAAGATTGTTTAATTCGACCATGCTTGTTGCCAATACGCTCGTAAAAAAATATTTGTAGAGGCCTAATGATAATTTTTAGTTTAGGGCCTCAATTTTCAGGGACAGCCCTTCTATAAGGTATAGGGAAATGTAACGTTTAAACTAAGTTACCCCCACAATTCCTCGATTAGGAATGCATATGTAATATTGTAATCTAATAAAGTTGTATTCACAAGTTTTGAACTTTTCATATAAGTTTACAAACATTAATATTAACCCCCACATTTTTGGATTATACTTGAACATAGAGTTTATCAACTCTTTCATAGTTAATTCATTTATCAAATAGATAATGTCCATATTCGAATACTTCGTGAAAGTTTAAGTACTTTCAAAATAGTGGTCGTCAACCCACAATTTATTTCAATTGCGTACTTCAATCCAATTATCTTCAATTTGATCATCCAAATCAAATTAAGGTCATCACATAGACCAACAATGCTCTCAAAGCATATACCAATTTAATTGGTTCCACGATTGAAATGAAATTTCAACAATGAAGAAGACT